AGAGACCTGGGCGTTCCCCGGGTGCGAGTCTCCGCTTGCTGTGTGAACCCTGGAGCAGAGTTCCAAAAAGCCCTCTGCGTGCGCGCGTAGGTCGCCACCGCGTTTACTTTGGCAGGACTGCATATAATAAGATTAAATAAGTAAGAAATGTAAATAAGAAAAGTAATGTTTATATATATGAAATTTATATATGTTTTAAATTATATACGTGTGTCTACTTGTGGGTTAGTGCTGGTGTACGCGGAGAACAGATCCCCTGGACGGAGCTAGAATTAACAGGTTCTTTTGAGCTGCCATGTAGGTCCTCTGCAAGAACAGCCAGTGCTGAGCCACCCCTCCAGTCCCAGACTGCACTTTGAACTACCCAAAGCCTCCCCTCCCACAAAGGAAGCTGTGGATCCAGGCTCTGGACCCCACTCCAAACCTCCTCACCCCACACTCAAGGCTGCCAGGAATCGGCATGTAAGAGTAACTAAGCTACTACATGTAAGATTTTTGAAAACATGAAATAAAAATTGGAATCAAGGGGTAAGGATATAGCTCCTTTAAGAGTGCTTGTCTAGCAATGTAGAAGGGTGTTAGTACTAAAACTTGAGAGGCAGAGGCAGATTTCTGTGAGGTCAAAGCAAAACTAAATGTTATTTGTAATTATGTTTATGGGGGGGTACACGTGAGTGATGCTTCCTTCAGAGGCACCATACTCCAGGAGCTGGAGTTATGGCAGACTGAGAGCCACCCAACATGTGTGCTGGAAATCAAACTCAAATCTTCTGCAAGGGCAGTACATACTCTTAACAACTGAGTAATCTCTCCAGGTGCATATTCCTTATAAATTTTCATACACGTCATTTTATATAAATTTTCATATGTATAAATTTCATGTCTTCTATGAAGAATCCCAGAATGTTATCAATGGAGGGATATGTCCTATCCACTTCTTCATTTTGCAGTCCTGGGGATTGAATGTAGGGCCTCATGCAAAAGCTCTACAATGAGCTATATTACCAGTCCTCTCTTTACTTTCAGACAGGGTCTCTCTGTAAAAATGTTCTTTAATCCCTCAGAATGTCAAATATGTATATAGTTACACACATACACACATGCACACACAATTGAGCACTGGCACTCATACACACATACATGCGCGCGCGCACACACACACACACACACACATGGACACACACACACACACACACACACGGACACACGGACACACGGACACACACACACATGGACACACACACACACGGACACACGGACACACGGACACACACACACATGGACACACACACACACGGACACACGGACACACGGACACACACACACATGGACACACACACACACGGACACACGGACACACGGACACACACACACATGGACACACACACACACGGACACACGGACACACACACACATGGACACACACACACACGGACACACACACACACACACATGGACACACACACACACACGGACACACGGACACACGGACACACACACACATGGACACACACACACACACACGGACACACACACACAC